CAATTCGACTCGAGAAGCGCCGACGAAGGCGACGACGCTGCCACTGTCGACATGATCGGCCTTGGGATGGAGGCGATGACGACAACGACGGCGAAGAGTATGACGGCAACGAAGATGTCGACGAAGACGTTGACGTTTGCTTGACTCATGTTAAATTGCTGCTGCGCGTAGACGCCGGGACACGGACGGGCGCATGCTCGGCAACCGCTTGGTATTCAGAGGGTGCCAGATTTCAAATTGTTCTGCCTAGCACGTTTCCGCGGCAGCCAGTCTCATCTCTTACCGCAGAAGCCATCGCCTTAGATGGGGCTGCACAGGCGTTCGCAAGCACAGCCGCCTAGCAAGAGGCAAACGGCCGTCAGCATGCTGACCCAAGCCCCTCCTCCTCGCTCCGCCTCCTGCTCCTCCTGCTCCTCCTGCTCCTCCTGCTCCTCCTGCTCCTCCTCCTCCTCCTCCTCCTCCTCTTCAGCATCATCATCCTCGTCCTCCTCCTCCTCTTCCGCCTCCGCCTCCTCCTCCTTCTCCTCCTCCTCCCAGGGAGAGAAACAAAGACGCTGACGACGAGACTGACCTTGGACTCGGTTCGACGACGTCGACGACGACCCTGCAGACATTCGATGTCGTGATCGAGCTCAATCCGTAGGCCCCCCCAGAGCCATGAGCCTGAATCGGGGAGACGTAAGACTCAGGTTAGGGGGACTCGGGTTGGCCCGACGAGATCATCATGAAAATGACGCGAACCAATGTGAAATTTGACGCGGGCTCCCGCTGCAGACATCCCACGAGAACTGGACTGTCAAAACCCAGGACGCGCTCGTCAAAAAGCGTAGGCGAATCCGATTTCCGGAGAACTCGAGTCTTACATTTTCCCGACTGAATCGGCTTTTCATCCTGAATCGACTTTGGCGCCCCCCACGACCAGAAAGCTGTCCCACCGGCAAGATTTTGCGAACCGCACTCCATACTGATATTTTGTGAAACGTCGGAGGTCTGTGACAACGACCACGACGACGACACCCCCTTCTCCTGGTGCGCGTTCTGGCCAGAATATCTACGCCGATCCGAACGTGGCCAGGGTCCCCCTGAGCAGCCCGAAAGACTGAAGAACGACGAACAAACTTGATCCTCGAATTTTCACCGTCGAACCTCGACTGGCGGCGGCGGCAACGACTACGACGCTGCCGCCGACGACGGGGTCGACCTTAGACTCGAGGCGACGACGACGGCGACGAAGACACGGATAACATCGAAGTCGACGACGCTGCGACGCCGAGGTCGGCCTTGGACTCGAGGCGATCGCTGAGCCGACGCCGACGACGAAAGACGTCGACGCAAACGGCAACACTGCCGCTGACGACGGGACAATCCTTGGACTCGAGGCGACCGTGACGCCGGCCACGACAACGAAGACGACAGCCAAGACGACGAACCTGCAGCTGCAGCTGGTGACGAGGTCGACCTCGGGCTCGAGTCGAACTCGTCGCAGACGCCGACGCCGACGACGAAGACGACGGCGAAGACGACGTCGCTGCCGCAGACGACGAGGTCGACCTCGGACTCGAGCCGACGACGGCGGCGACGACGACGACGATCGCCGCCCTCGGGTGTCGATTTTGTCAATCCGCGGGCCCCAAAGCCCTGGACACCTTTAAGGAAAACGGCCCATGTACCCTCAATCGTCTTTTGACTGTCCCTGGGCGCGAAAACGGCACCCAGGAACTGAACATGCAGAAAAACCGTCGTCTTGACGTTGGAGGACTGGGCCGACGACCACGACGACCAGGGGCGGCGGCGACCTACGCTGCCGCTGACGACGGGGTCGCACTTGGACTCGAGGCGACGACGACGACGACGGCATCGACAGCGAAGAGGATGACGGCAACGAGAACGACGCTGACGACGAGACTCGCCTTGGACTCGAGGCGGCCCAGTAGCCCAGCCAGCCGGCGCTCCAGGCCTCGGGGAGGGTGGCGGCCAATCATGCACCGACGCCGTGCCTGGCCGGGCCAACCCTGGACGTCGCGATGGCGCCGAAAATGGTTTGCGTCACCGCGCGGATTTCAACAGGGACCGACCATCGCGGCATTCCTATATTATACCACAGAATGTTCGTAGAGCCAACAAGTGTTCTATGAACAAACACGATGTTCGTAGAACATAGTCCCGATGTGTTAAAGCAAGACTGTCTCGGCCGCAAATGTTCTAAGAACATTTCGCGCAGACCACAAAAGGTTTTCAGAACAGTTTCTGGTAGGCCCATAGGCAAGCTGGGACGCTGCGCCACCGCTTGACGAATCGTTCCGCCGCGAAGGACCACGGCGGCCCGAAGGCGCAGGTCGCTCGGTGTCGGCGGATCCTGGGCGACTGGCGGCGCTCAGCCCGGCAAGCCCTCTCTCTCTCGCCGGGTCGCCGCGGGGGGCAGCGCGGCGCGGGCCTTCCGTGACCTGGCCTGGGAAGCACAAAGACATGGTATTAAGTTGGGCGTCCCCCTGCAGGGGGATATTGGGTGAAAAATTAAGAATACCCCGAACATGTCCAAACATGTTGAAAACATGCCCCACACATCGTCCCCATAATAGATTTTACTATGTTTGAACTTTCCTTCTGTAGAGGGACGCGTCCGACTTAAACATAGTAGCACTGGATGTCCGCCTTGGAGGCGCGCGCCCGACCCGGACATATCGTATCACCCTCCTGTGGCGGCATATGGTCTCCCGAGCGGTGTGGCCGGGAAGCGCCCGCCACGGCGAGCATACTAGAGCAGTTTTGGGTGCGCGCGTCGCCCCTGGGGGGGGGGGGCGACGCACATGGAGTATGAGTATGTCGATGTGGCGCCGATGAGACATGGGCGCCGTGATCTGTTCGCTCCAGGCAGGCGGCCGCTGGTATCGCGGACGGCTGGTTTCGCCCGGCCGGTTTCGATGCCCGGAAAAACCGGCTCCGTCGGCGAAACCAGCTGCCGTCGCCGAAAACAGCTGCCGTCGGCGAAACAGCTGCAAAACAGCTGCCGTTGGCGAAACAGCTGCCGTCGGCGAAACAAGCTGCCGTCGGCAAAACTGTCCGACCCGACCCGCCTGCTAGTTGTGTGTGCCAAGCTAGAGAGTTTGTTTCATCATGCGGCCTCCGAAAATGTGTCGAAATATGTTTTTTTTATGTTGTGGCGTGTTGGTCGTATGCTTCTGCGCGCTGACACTGCTCGCCCACCCCTTGCCCGAAACAAACGCCTGGTTCAGTTGGCCGGCCTTCGGGGGCCCATGCCATTCCCCAAATGCCGAGGCCGCGCGAGCCCACGGCCCTTCGCAAACATCTTTTGCCTGACCCGACGGGGCAAAGCCACGCGCTGCTGGACGATATCCCCATGGATCCGAAGAGGCCCCAAGTTGCCCCAAGGAGGCCCCCAGAGGCCTGAGGACTACGCCCAAGAGGGCTTCAGAGGATCCGAACCTGCCTCCCAGGGGCTCCAAATAGATAATCCACGCACTCCCGACCGACATCCATGAGGCCTCTGACTCACAAACCAGGCATGGTGGCAGGATACGCCGAACGAAAGCCACTTGATAGAAGCGTACTGGGCGCAGAGAAGAGCGCCCAACGGCCCGACGAATAACACAAGGACGCAAGAACGAGAACAATGCCCCGCACCGCGCTTTCCTGCCACAGCAAATTTGAGAGTTCCGTCCAACTTGGGGGGGAAGGATGGGAGGACGGGGAAACGGGGCAGGCTCCCATCCGCGCCCCCGCCACGGCACTGCTTTGCAACCCTTCCGAACACAGCAAACGCAGGCACGGCCAGTATCGGGTAGGTCTGAGAACAAACAATTCTCCTGACATGCGCTGCCATGGGAACTGGGAGGAACCCGTAACTTTTAGGGTCTGCCGCATCGGCTCCCCAAGGACGGCCGCCCGCCCCGAATGAACATGGTCGGATTGGGAGCTGAGGACGAGGACGGGGGGAAAGGAGGAGGAGGAGGAGGAGGAGGAGGAGGAGGAGAGGGAGGAGGAAGAGGAGGAGGAGGAAGAGGAAACATAAGAAAATGATGAGGATAATGATGGGGAAGAGTAAACCTGGACGAATACATCTTGACCCGCATCTTTCCAGCAACCGTCAGGGGCGCCACTGAAACTGTCAAGCCCGCTACTGAATGGGATGACACAGTGGAGAATATGCCAAGGACGCTACTGAACTATGACGCACAGTAAAGTATGTGTTCAGGACGCACGGTAGAGAATTTGTCAATGGAGCTGGAAGGAATCCGCACCGTTTAGGGTCTGCCGCATCGGCTCCCCAAGGACGGCCGTCCGCCCCGAGTAAATATGGTCACGTGGGGGACTGGGGGAGGAGGGGGAGGAGGAGGAGGAGGAAGAAAAAGAGGAACAGGAGGAGAATGAGGAGGAGAAGAAGAGGAGGAAACGTAAACCTTACCGAGTACAGATTGACCCGCACGTTCCGGCAACTGTTAAGGACGCCGCTGAAACTGTCAAGCCCGTTACTGAATGGGATGACAAAGTGGGGCATTTGCCAAGGACGATGCTGAAATACGACGCACAAGCAAGAAAGTGTTCAGGCCGCACCGCGATGATTCTGTCAAGGGAACTGGAAGGCCCGCCTCGACGTCTAGAAAAACAGCCACCATAAGAATCGAAACTGCGTTGACCACTTGCGGTGACGAGAACATTCAATTCAACATTGGTCGAATTGAATGTTGAATTGAATTGAATGACGATGGTGACGATTTCGCCAATGATGGTATGATGCGGTGGTGGCGATTGGTGTCCTCTCGCTGCGCCCGGGACTCGTCGCTTCTCGAGCGTGGCGCGCTCAACTGCGCAATGGCAACGTTCCCTGTAATGAAACAGCCGTGGGACGCAAGACCCTGTCACGATGTGAGCACGCAAGAACATGACCACCTGCAGGGCGCCGTCGCCAAAACAGCAAGGATGCAACGGTGGCCATCACACTACAGCTGTTCATTACCAGGGGCTCCTACCTCTGCGGATGTTCACTCCACGGCCGTGTCCTTCCCTTTAAACAAATCGTCCAACGCCTTCTGACGAGAGGCTGGTTTCAGCACGGGTGTCACCATGTTGTGCGGGTACTTGTGCGTTGTGCCTTTGGCAGGGCCCTCAAGGAGTTCAACCACGTAGTCTCTGGCATTTGCCTTGAGAACTTTGCCCTTCTTGCCATCGAACTCGGCCTTCAGCGCGGCAAGTTTGCACGCCGCGTAGCCCCGCAGAGGGCTCCCAGATGGTGGGCGCCCCTGCCCCATGTTCAGATTCCAGTTGCTGCGCGCTTGCGTCTTCCTGTGAAATGCCCCCCTTGCTCCCCTGATCGTTTGCTCCTCCAATTTCCTCCACCCCCCGTCTTGCCTCGCCCATGTTTCGCCCGTCACCCCCCCCTCCTCCCATCACGTTCCGCGGGGGAGGGAGGGCGCCGCCCTCGGGAGCTAGATTCTCAGAGATTCCTGAGTCACCAGCGCCCGCCGTCGGTGCGCACGGGGCATGGGTCCCATGTCTGTCGTTGTATACCCCAGGCGTCGGGCATCTGCCGAAGCCCTTCGCATTGTGAGATAAGGGGCCCAGGGCGCAACAACCAGGAACCAGAAGAGAAGTTCGGAGATCAATGGGGCGGCGAATCAATGGCCGAGCCTTCTGGCTTGCCGTATACCTCGTCTCCGATTGCGAAGCGCGTCAAGGCCGCGCCCTTGCCATCCTCCGCCCCGTTGCCCTCGCTCGCGCTGGCTCCCTTCTTGCTCCCGCCCGTGTCTGAGCCGGTGTTCGCCGCTTTGGGGTCCTTCTCTCCCGCCGGGGGCTCGGAGGCCTTGCGCTTCTCCCGCGGGGCCAACTGTGGCTGTTTAGAGCGGGCCGACTTCTAGCGGGCCGAACCCTGGACGCGCGGCAAACGACCTGGGCGCCCTGATTCGGGCCACGCGGGAACCGCCATCTAGGGTTAAGCCCATGGTTGTTCGGGACATGCCAGGGTCCTCGGCCCGCTTCTTCAGGCGTTCCTGCTCCGCCTGGACGGCAGTGCATGGGGGCCCAGCGGCCAGGCGTCTCAAGCGCGGCACAGGTCGAGGCAACCCGTGGCATTTGTGACGCCTGACCCTTGGGCCTCCGAGAAGCACCTCTGGATGGCGATATGATTTTTACGGCCCCTGGCCACGACAGAATCTGGTTTCCGAGGGAATCGCCGCTACGACAGAATTTGGCCATCGTGACACACAAATCAAGGTTACGACGATCCGGCCGCATTTCCGAAGGAAGCTGCGTTACGACGGAATCTGGTTATTGTGACCGACAAATCAAGGTTGCGACGATCCGGCCGCATTTCCGAAGGAAGCGCCGTTACGACAGAATCTGGCTATTGTGACACACGAATCAAGGTTGCGACGATCCGGCCGCATTTCCGAGGGAAGCGCCGTTACGGCACAATCTGGCTACTGCGACACACAAAACAAGGTTACTACGATCCGGCCGCACTTCCAAAGGGATCGCCGTTACGACAGAATCTGGTTATGGCGGCCCACAAATCAAGGTTGCGACGATTCGGCCACATTCCCGAGGGAAGCACCGTTACGGCAGAATCCGTTTATTCTGGCCGTCGAATCAAGGTTGCGATGATTTCCAAATCGAACACCCCGAATTCCCGAATTTCCGTGGCCCCAAGATAATTTCGGCCACGTTCGCAGGACAGCCTCCTGGCCGCCAACGCGTCAACACAATGCGATGCAACATAATCTCGGCCACGTTCGCAGGACAGCCTCCTGGCCACTCATAGCGAGGGCCTCCTCCTCCTCCTCCTCCTCCTCCTCCTCCTCCTCCTCCTCCTCCCTCCTCCTCCTCCTCCTCCTCCTCCTCCTCCTCCGACCTTGTCCCATCGGGCAATTCGCAGAGCCACAAAGTCGGCGTCGAACGCGACGCACTCCATCTCAAGTTCGTACACTGCTGTGGCATAATCGACGGGGATGCCAACGCGCAGGCAGTGCTCGGACAGGCGGACGAACTGTTTCGAGAACGAGCTGGTGAGTCGCAAGGTTCGCGCCGTGTCATGGCCGCCCAGAGGGAGGACCCAACTCGCTGTCCCAAGAGCGAAATGGAAGAAGACGTCCCGATCGTCCCCGCTGCGGAGACAAAAAAAACCTGGCGGCCGGGACCAGAGGCGATCTTGCCAGGGGATGGCATCGGCACGTCGGGCAGGTTGCAAACGCGTGACACATGGGAACTCCTGATCAGGAACCAGCCGCTGGGTCAAGGAGCGGCGCACCGAGGAGGCCGTGTCGAAGTAGTCGTTGAAAATTGTTCTGTTCTGGGAAATCCATTGCAACCACTCGGCATTGGTCCTGGGTGTCGACGCTGCCACCGGTTCTTTGGCTTTCCGCGCCGCTTCTGCGGCGGCGTCAAGCTCCCGTTGCAGGTCCACGCGATGTTCTTCAATATAAGAAGCAATGGCATCCTCGTCGAATGTCAACACAGGCCGAGCGACCCGCTCCCCCGCCGTGACGAAATCTGGGCGACGGCGCAAAACCAACGCACGAATGTGCAAGTGAACGCCACGTTGTGCTTTTGCCCGTTGCGTGTCCACGACCCGCCTCGCGTTGCGAGTTGTACGATAACGCCTCAAAATACTGTTTCTACTGGCCGCCGCGACCGTGCTCATCTTGGGTGCCTCTGTTTTCTTGTCTGGTACGTGTTTCCGCTCTACCGACAGGGTCGTCGCACACCCATTCCTGAGACAGTTGTCAACGTGGGCTTGCACGCCAGGCGACATCAGGTAGTCCGCGGCACGCCTGCTGGACCCAGCGGCGTCGGCTTTTTGACGGAGCGGCAAAGAGAAACCGACATCTAGGCGCTCCTCGTCGACGGAAAGGAACGCTAAACATTCTCGAGACCACTGGGACGGGTTGAACGACTGGGACAGCTTGTACAGCGCAGTCGGGTACTCCTGATACACAGACAAACGGGCGACCAGATTGCCCATCGTGGCAAGCATCGAAGTCAAAGCCCTGAGCTGCGGCAACACAGGATCGAAAGGTATGTGAGGAACAATGTTCACCAACGTCCGCCCAGCCTGCTCCTGGAGGCGCCCGCTGCCAAGTTCTACGAGCAACGGGTCGCCTGTCGACGTCTTGGCCGCCATGCTCATGGCGTGATTGGTCACTTGCAGACACAAAGCAGCGATGCGCAGGTCTACTGGTGTGGTTGGCGCTTTCCAGAAGGACTGAACTGCGTCAATCCTCTTCTGCTGCGCCTGCATCGGTCTGGTGGCGGAGAGCGACCACACATCAACTGGAATGTTGAATAAAGCACACAACAACATGGACCGCACGCACGCAGTGAACGTGAAGAAACGGCTTGTTGTCGGATGTTCTTCGACGAGCAAGATCCGCTTCTGCAGCTGGAGGAAAACTTCACGCCGTAACGTTGGAAGGTCCACGCCATCTGGCGCCGAAGAGCTATGAGCCATCAGCCCGATTCGCACGTTGAGTAACAACACCAATTGATCAGGGACCACATCAGGACCGTATAGCGACATTAGGTGCCGCACATGTGCGCAGTGCCCCATTGTAGCGGCGGGATCCTCTGGGACGACACGCAGATTGCCAACCGCGAATTTCAGAAGATTGGAGGAGAACTCTTCGTAGTATGAATTGTGGATGTACTTGTACATCCGCACAGCTGCGCCGCAAATAGCGTCACCGTTGACAGGATCCTTGAGGGCGCGTTGGCAGATGGCGTATTGTATCGTAAGGTTGATTTGGTGAGCGCAACACACCCAAAGCAACATGCTGTACTCCACGCCGCGTTCAAGGCACATTTTCCTCAGGAGGGGGAATGAATTGCGAATGTCCGGCCCGTGGCCCCCTCCCGTCCCCCTGCGAGTTCGATGGGTCCGCCCCCAAGGATTGTGGAAGAAAGTCACGGGGCGCTTCTGGAAACCAATCAGCAAAAACACGATGCGATTGCCGAGACAAAGACCCAAACATGAAGATCGGTTGCCACTTTTCCCCCCGCCCCTTCGAGCGGCCGAACGAAACCGTAGCACGAATTCGAAGACCGAGCTAAAGATTACCCTCGGAAACCCACAAATCATTATACTGGAGGGGATGGGGATTTATTGGCCCCTCCCCCGCTGTTCCCGAATAACCGTTTGCATGCGGCGAGGTTGGTCGGCACGGCGTCGCCCGTAAGTCCAACCTGCCACGTGGGCTGGAAGTGGTCTAAGGCGTTCATGCTGCAGTCCCCCCTCTTCCCCTCACGGGGGGGTTGGAGTCCCGAAGTGCACCAAGATATTCTGCAGATCGCGGACTTGTTCTCATGAGCGGTGGAGGTCAGGAGGACGTGCACGAGGAAGGGGGGCAGGAGAAAGGAAAACTTGTGCTCCGAAGCAGTGGCGACACATGCATTAACAAATCCTCTGGCCTAGGCCATACAGTTTTGGTGCACTTCGGCCCCCTAAATGCAAAAAATAATGAAACGGACATGGAGGAAGGATAATTCAGCCCCATTGGCGGGCTGCTACGCCAGAAAGGGCCTCGGATTAAGCCGGATTAGGCGGGATTGAATGGGATCAAGCGGGATTAAGCAGGATTCAACGGGATTGAGCTGGCTTCAGCCGTCCCCTTTCTGGGCGCCGTGCACGCCAGGGGAACGGGGCTTCAACCCGACTCCCCACGGGGCCGAAGGCTGGCCACCGCGGGCCGGGCTGGCCAGTAGGCGCCTCGCCAGCAGGAGGCGTGCAGACAGAGCAGCCGTCGCAGGAGGAAGAGGGGGAGGGGGAGGGGGAGGGGAGGAGGACGAGGAGGAGGAGGAGGAGGGGAGGAGAGGAGGAGGGAGGAGCAGGAGGAGGAGGAGGAGAGGAGGAGGAAGGAGGATGAAGGAGGAGGAGGAAGGGAGGAGGATGAGGAGGGGGAGGAGGAGGAAGGAGGAAGGAGGAGGAGGGAGGAGGCGGAGCAGCACGAAGAGGAGGAGCAGGAAAAGGAGGAGGAGGAGGAGGACGACGAGGACGAGGGGAAGGAGGAGGAGGAGCAAGAGCAGCAGGAGCAGGAGGAAGAGGAGGAGGAGAATGAGGAGGAGGAGGAGGAGGAGGAGGAGGAGGAGGAGGAGGAAGGACGACGAGGATTTTTCGCGGAGTTCTCGAAGGTCAACGACCAAGGAGGAGGAGGAGGAGGAGGAGGAGGAGGACGACGACGACGAGGACGAGGAGGAGGAGGACAGGACAGGACATCCGCATTAAAGGGTCCAACGTCAAACACCTACGCTGGTGCCTTGCGCGCTGCTGGCAAAATCTCTTGCGATTGGTTGTGCAACGGCCCTGGCTTCTCACTAGGGCCAGAAGGGGCACGCCCCGTTGCTCAAGGAGTGAACTTTGAGGTGGACCCGCATGAGCGGCTCGCTACCCTACGATTGCGAATCCCTGGAGGAGGAGGAGGAGGAGGAGGAGGAGGAGGATGTTCCCAGCATCTCTCCCCGATGGCGTGATCAGGGGAAGTCGCCTGCGCGTCGCTGCTGGACGCGTCGGTGTCGATGCGCGAAGCGTTAATGATAAATGCGCCAAGCGCACGACGACATCTGGCCCGACGCCTTCCCGAACAGTCCTCAATATGTCATCCACGACCAACCTGAGGATGGCGCCAGAATACGACGCCCGAAACTGGGCGCCCAACAATAAGCAAAACGCAAAACAACGCACGCAATGCAAAAACATATGTTTCATGTCGCCTGGGGTGGCGGCGCTGGATATGGAAGTTTTGAAAGCGGAATCTGCTGTCTGACGACCAGGGGGCTGCTTGCCACAAGCCGCCCACGCCGGCCACGCGCAGGAAAGAATGCGCCATGGTCGCCCCCCCCCCAACGAAAACGTTCCTAATCCAGCGCCGCCGCCACGCCACTGAAGCACCAGAGGGCATAGGCGATGCTGGCTGCGTCCTTCCGCTGCAGCGGCTGCAGCTCTACGTAGAATTCCTGCGTGCGTCCTCCGATTGTTACCGATACGCAATTGTTCTGAATTTTTGCAGCGCGTCCGCGAGCAAGGCGTCGGCCAATCGGGATCGCAGCCACTCCGTCTGGGACTGCCGTGCTGTAGGACTTCAACCTTGGGGACACAAGGGTGCGCCGAGGGGGCGCCGTTGCGTCGCGCCCGTAGCCCCCCTGTGTTTTCGGGGGTGGGCAATTCGATAGGCATGTGGTTTGGGGGAGGTTGGGCGCGCCCTCGGCAGACCTCATGGCCGCCTCGTCGTGCGTGTGGGTTATGTAGACCACGCATTCAGGATCTGCACGCGCAGCGCGCGCTAATTCATCCCTCGCCGGCTCGGGATTGCATCGCCAGCGAAGCCCAGGACTCGCGCGCCGCTTGTTCCCTATATCACAATTCTACAAGGCTCGCTTTATGAATGCTGCCGTGCTATATCAAAAACGCACAGTTTGCGACCTGGCAACCCCATGGATAGATGAGGAGAACAAGTGGAGCGCGAGGCCAAACACACGCATCATCCTGGTTTTGACGAGTCCCGTAGGTCCTGTTGAACTGTTTAATGAGCTGGGCGAAACAATCCCGAGCGCGACGCACCGACGATACACCCAACGCATGTGTTTCGACTTGTTGGAAATCCGCCCGCCCTTCCACAGAGCGTTCACCGAGGCCTCGGTCGGTCAATCCATTTGTGCGTTTTTAAAAAACATGGCCAACAACTTTTCCTTCCCCAGGAGGCGCCCAGAGAATCGCGCAAATGTTCAGTGGGAGCCGAAAACTACGCGGCACGTGTCAGGCGGGCAAGTCGCCAGATGGCCAGATCGGAACAAAAACTGGCGACGTCCCTGAGTGGCATGTTCGGTGGAGACAGCCCAGCTCGGAGAAGCCACATCTCCCGAAGGCGTCCCGCAAGACGAGAACCGCTCAGTTCAACATCGAGTTTCTCCTGAAGGTTCGCCCGTTGTTTGATCTGATATGCCAGCTTCATTTGCAGTCGGTGGCGAGCCGCTGGCGTGAAGAGATCATCGCGGCGGCCGCCCACGTTCCTGGGAAGAATCCACAAAGTCTGGGCACCCGACTTCCCCCCATTTGAATACAGGAGGGAAGCCTGCGCAGAAACGCGCTTACGCACCACAGCCGTGCCTTGCCAAAACCACCAAGGCCCAATAGCCAGGAAAGTCTGACACTGGCGGCGGTGCACAGGCGCCTCCTGCAAAGCAGGACAAGGGAGAACTAGGAAAGACATTTGACAGGCTCGATTCCGTGCTTCTGCTGCGCCCTCATCGGCGATGGCGGCATGCAAAGCAAGCGCACTCGCCCGCGTCCGAGGCCATTGCTCGGCGTCCGGGGACGCGAGAAACTCACGGACAGCAGAGTACAGCTTCAACCGCGAGGCCGCCATCCCTTCTGCGATCGAAGAAAGGTTGATTCACACCGCGACCAACAATGAAACAACACCGCTGGGGCACAGAGCCAAATCTCGAATGAAGAGGCGACATAAGCCGACGACCACGACGACAATGAGGACAACGAC